TAGTTCAACTACCCTACCCTTCCCCACCCTCCCCCTCCCCCCCCTCCCCCCTCCTGTCGCGTCACGAACACTTTCCGTCGGGTCTGCTATGCGTTGCGGTGCGACCTGAGACTGTTTGTGGTGGTCGTCGTCTCGACTCGGTGGCTATTTGTGGTCCATACATAACCACGCACACTCACACTCACACACACACACACACTCTCTCTCTCTCTCTCTCTCTCTTCATGCTGGTGGGTGGGTAGGCTGTGCCACGCAGGTGGGCTTCGAGTGTGAGAGGCAGCGCAGACGCAACAGCGACGAGGACAACACAGGTGATGGCGACAGCGACTTCAAGTCCGCCAGCTGGGCAGACACCGACGGGGATGACGGGGATGGCGGAAATGGCAGAAGCGGCCGGAGCAGCTGAAGCTGGTGGAGTCGAGGCCGGTGCACCCGGGTCCGGTGCAGGAGGTGCGGGTGTGGCGAGCAGTGGCAACGGGCTTGCAACCGGGAGCAGCGAGGGAGCCAGCAATGGGCGTGCGGAGCGCGAAGCGCGGCCAAGGCCGGCGCGGACGTACAAGATCTTTGTGGGCGATCTAGTGTCGGCCGTGACTGAGGACGAGGTCCGCCAAGCGTTTGCGTCATTTGGCAACGTGGTCGGATGCAACGTGGTTCGCGACTCCGAGTCGGGCCTCTGCCGTGGCTACGGATTTGTGATGTTTGAGACGCGGGCCGGGCAGGAGGCGGCGCTGGCCGGGCCGGCACCGGTTATTCGCGAGCGGCAGACGCGGACGGGGCACTCCGAGTCCAAGGACACGCTCTTTGTGTCGAAGATTCCGGTGGCTGTGGGTGAGGACGAGCTGTTTGACACGCTCCAGGCCGCGGTGGTGCCGCGGATTGTGTCGCTGGCGCTGAAGCGGGACGCGGTGACCGGCGCATCGCGCGGATTTTGCTTTGTCAAGTTTGCCTCGTTTGACGACGCGGTCCTTGCGCGCGACGTGCTCACCAACGACTTTGTCATCCACGACTCGATCCTACACGTTTCGTGGGCGCAGCCGCGGGCAAGCAGCGCCGGCAGCGGGCGGCGGCACCGGGCCGAGTCGGAGCCGGAGCCGTTTGATCCCACGCGGCCGCCTAACAAGACGCTGTATGTGGCGCATCTGGATCCGGCAACCAACGAGTACAACCTGCGCCACCACTTTGCAGCGCACGGAGAGGTGATCAAGGCCACGGTGGTGTACGACACCGACGGCTCGTCGCGTGGCTTTGGCTTTGTCGAGTTCCGCTCGCCGGCGTCGTGCGCCACAGCCATCGCCGCGCTCGACAAGTCGCAGCTCAACGGGGCGGTCATCAACGTGGCCATGGCCCGGCCGCGGCGGCAGCCGCGGCGCCGCGGCTCGGGCGGGAGCCGGTACAGCGCAGGCCCCGGCCGCGGCCACGGCCACGGACACGGCCACGGCGGTGCGCAGTACTATCCTCCTCCGTACGGCTACCCGGGCGTCCCGCATCAGCGCGGCGGCGGCGCTGTGTTCTACTCGTACCCGCCGCCGATGGCCGGCATGGCGGGGCCCGGCATGATGGCGCCCGACATGATGGCAGGAGGTGGCGGCGGATACTACATGGGCGGCGGCGGGCTCACAGGCACCCGTGATCGGTCGTCGTCGATGGGCTCGGTCTCGTCGACCGGCTCGTCGGAGGAAGCCATGATGGCGGCATCGGCGGCGGCGGCGGCGGCGGGCTATCCGCCACCGACCGCCAGCGTGCAGGGCCAGCCGGGCTCAGCTACCTTTTTCGCCGTCATCCACAACTATGCCCTGGCGCTGGCCTCGGCCAACGGCATGATGCTCCAAACTGCCTTGGAGCACGCCTACTACCGGCACTACCTCCAGCTCGCCGAGTCGGAGATGGGCGCATGGGACGGGCCCGACGCCGCCGAACGCCAGATGTGGATGAACGACGTGGCCCAGCGCCAGGCCCGCACCGCAACCTCAGCACACGTCCAGGTCCTGCAGGCCCAGCACTACGTCCAGTCGGCATACTCGCACATGTACCATGTACAGGCTGCTCCCGGTCAGGCCCAGGCCCAGCCGCCTGCTGCCCAGCAGCCTGTCGCCGCAGACGGCAGCAACGACAAGACTGCCACTCAGCAGCCTCAGCAGCAGCAGCAGCAGCAGCAGCAGCAATTACGCAGGATCTCGGCCTCTATGCCCTGGCGCTGGCCTCGGCCAACGGCATGATGCTCCAAACTGCCTTGGAGCACGCCTACTACCGGCACTACCTCCAGCTCGCCGAGTCGGAGATGGGCGCATGGGACGGGCCCGACGCCGCCGAACGCCAGATGTGGATGAACGACGTGGCCCAGCGCCAGGCCCGCACCGCAACCTCAGCACACGTCCAGGTCCTGCAGGCCCAGCACTACGTCCAGTCGGCATACTCGCACATGTACCATGTACAGGCTGCTCCCGGTCAGGCCCAGGCCCAGCCGCCTGCTGCCCAGCAGCCTGTCGCCGCAGACGGCAGCAACGACAAGACTGCCACTCAGCAGCCTCAGCAGCAGCAGCAGCAGCAGCAGCAGCAGCAGCAGCAGCAGCAGCAGCAGCAGCAGCAGCAGCAGCCCCAGCAGCAGTCCCAGCCCGCAGCCGAGGAACCCGCGGCTACCATGGCCAGCGCCTCGGCGCACGCCTCGCAAGCCATCCAGGCCGCCAACCAGGCCATGTCGCTCTGGTCGTTCCAGCAGCACATGATGCACCAGCATCAGGCCCAGTTTACGGCCCAGGCCCAGGCCCAGGCCGTCGCCATGGCCCAAGCCCGTGCTCATCTGGCACACCAGCAGCAGCCCGGCGGTAGCGCGAACGGCACCGCACCAACGCGCAGCGACGCCGGCTCCAGTGAGTCTGGCGACACAACCGCGCCTGCCCCGGTCGCAACAGCTGCAGCCACAGCGGCCGCCGAGGCTGTCCACGAGACCTCAATGAGCCTGCAAGCCGACGCGCTCAAGGCGCAGCAGTAAACCCGTGTGTTGCCGCCGAGCCGTCCAGCACGCGGCGGCGTGTCGGAGTAGCACACTTGACTTTATTCCAAGGCATGTTGGTTGCCTTCTCGCGAAAGACCGTCCGACTCGCCATGCGGGGAGCCGGATGGGGAGGCTTGGCGCAGTCTGTGCGCGCCAGCAGCGGTGTCTGTGCCGGCAGTGTCGCAGCGGATGCAGGCGAAGGCGGTGGGGGGTGGGAGGCGCGGGCCCAGCCGCTGGCCGGCGTCACTGTGCTCGAGCTGGAGGGGCTGGCGGCTGCGCCAATGGCCGGCATGGTCCTGGCCGACTTTGGCGCCCGAGTCATCCGCATTGATCGGCCGCCGGCGGCTGCGGCACAGACGACGGGCGATGCAGGCGACGGCGACGGGACGGGAAGCGGGAGCAGTCGGGCGGGTGAGACGGACGCAATCGATCACGAGCCACACATGGGGACAACGCTGACGTCGCGCGGTAAAGAGTCGGTGGTCCTCGATCTCAAGGTGCCGAAGCAGGTGGAAGCGTTCAAGGCGCTGGCGCAGAGCGCGGACGTGGTCATCGAGCCGTTCCGTGCTGGTGTGATGGAGTCGCTAGGGCTCGGGCCAGAAGTGCTGATGGGTGAAGAGGTCAATCCGCGGCTAGTCTACGCGCGGATGACCGGCTACGGGCAGGTTGGGGAGGAAGCGACGGCTGCCGGGCACGACATCAACTACGTGGCCGCAACCGGCTTGCTCTCATGCTTTGCCCGTGCCCTGCCGCATCCAACCCCCCCCACGCCGCCCATCAACTTGCTCGGCGACATGGCCGGCGGTGCGTTCTCGTGCGCGTTTGGCATCGTCCTCGCGCTGCATGCCCGCGATGCGCCCGGTGGGACCGGAGCCGGCTCGATTGTTGACGCGAACATGGTCAGTGGTTCGGCGTACATCGGCTCGTTCCTCTACGCCATGGCGCAGGCCGGTGGGTACGCGCCGTCGCGCCCGGGCACTAATCTTCTTGACTCGGGGGCCCCGTTTTACGACACCTACCAAACCGCTGACGGAGAGTACATGGCACTCGGCGCAATCGAGCCCAAGTTCTTTGCCGAAGCCGTCGCGCTGCTCGGCCTCGACGTTGAGCCAGCTGCGCAATACAAGGCCAAGAGCTGGCCGGCGCTCCGGGCGGCGCTCACCTCGGCGTTTGCCTCGCGGACCGCCGCCGAATGGGACGCCGTGTTTGCCGGCTCGGACGCGTGCGTCTCGCGAGTGGTGCCGCTCAACGAGGTTGTCGCCAACCCACCGGGCGGCCGGTTCGGCGACGAGCCGCAGGCGGTCATGCCGCTGCCTGCGCCGACGCTTGCGGCCCGTGACGCCGCGGCTCCCCCCGCAGGCCACAAGGTCCGGATGACGCTCCCGTCGCGGCCACGGTACAGCGGCGCCACGATGGAGGTTCTCACCGAGCTAGCCGGGCTGACGCCTGAGGCAGCGGCGGCGATGTGCAAGGTAAACGGCGTCAATTGACTTCGGCGAGCGGGTAGCGCGGACGGGCAGGCGTCGAGCTAGGCACGTCCTTGGACGAGAGCTGGGCCTCGAGGCGGGCGTTGAGCGCTTCAAGCTCAGCAATGCGGGAGTCCTTGGATGCCTGCGCCTTGTTGGCGCTCACGAGCAGCCGCGAGATCTGGCCAAACGCCGAGCTCACCTGGGCGTTCGCCTCGGAGAGCTGGCCGCGGAGAGTGGCCAGCTCGGCTGCAAGGGTGTCGTTGGAGGCGGCGGCGGCAGCAGCGGCGGCCTCGGCGGCTCTGCGCTTCTTGTGCTCACGCTTGAGGCGAGCCTTGAGCGACGCGCTCTCCTTCTGGGCCAGGCGCGAGTGGTCGCACCACTGGCGAGTGAGCGCCTGGATCTTGGCGGCATGGTCCTCGGCCTCGGCCTTGTTGATGTTGAGCGAGGCGGTGACAGCCTCAAGATTAGCAAGCGCCTCGGCCGTTCGCTGCTCCGAGGTCTTCAGGTCGGAAGCGGTTGCCGAGAGCTTGGCCTCGAGCGAGGCGACACGTGCATCCTGGGCGGCACGCTCATCGTTGTGGGCGTTGATGAGAAAGGCAAGCTTTGCCTCGAGGGCCTCGCGTTCGGCGGCCTCGCGCTGCTTCTCGGCCTCGAGCTCGTCGAGCGAGGCGGTAAACGACATGTTGAACGAGGCGTCCGGGTCGGGCCGCGACGCGAGGAGTGCTTCGAGCTGCGAGATGCGCTCGGCAGCGCGAGCGTTGTTGCGGGCAAGCTGCGCCTCGAGCGCCCGGATCCGCGAGTCGCCGGCGCCCTGAGCATGGACCACGGGCTTGTTGCAGATTTGGCGGGCGCGGGCGGCCCAGACCAGGACCGACTTGGTCTGCGGCCCGCACGCGAGTTCCTGGCGGACGGTGGCAATGAGCAGGGTCTTGGCCGAGCCGCCGAGCGAGTCGCGGAGGAAAAAGGTGAGCGGCGAGTTGCGGTAAGGCGCCGAGGACGACGTGCGGCGGGCGGTTGAGAGGTGCGCGAGAACGTCGCCAAGAGCAGAGAGAGACTTGTTGATCGACGTCGCCTCCTTAGCGTGGACACCCGTCACGCCGGAGGCCTTGATGCTCTCGGCTCCGGCTAGGTCCACTAGATGGAGGGTGGCGGCACGGGCACCAGCCGGGCCGGACGACTCGACGTAGATGGAGAAGAGGGCGTGCGAGCGCGATGACGACGAGTTCATGAGCGTGGACATGACCCGCCGGCGGGCCATGCCGTCGTGGAGCAGCTGGAGGAGCTGCTCGCGTGAGGCAACAGGAGTCCGCAACTTGCCCGCCCAGCGGCCCGATGCATCGCGGACAGCGAGGAAGGTCGACTTGTCGGCAGCCTCACGGACAGCGATCTTGTCGCCCGACGCCGCCGCGGCCTCGGGCCCATCTGGGTGGAGCAGATCGAAAAAGTTCTCGTTGTAAAGCTCGACAAACGAGACGTCGAGCATAAAGGTTGTCTCGGGGCTCTGCTCGATGAGGGCGTAGAGCGCGTCGATGGCGCGTGGGATGACGCCCGGAGCGGCCGACGAGCCCATCATGGTGTGGGTCTTGCCAGAACCGGTCTGGCCGTAAGCCATGACGGTGGCGTTGAAGCCATCGCGGACAACCGAGGCGACATACGGGGCAACAAGGGAGTAAACATTGTCTTGCGAGGCGTTCTCATCGAGGACAGCGTCAAACTCAAAGGCCCGCGCCGTGCGCGACATCCTTGGCGTCTGACGCTGCGCCGGGAGCGGCCCGGAGATGCCCGGCGGCGGGGAGGAAGGCAGCCTTGTCGGAGTCGACAGCGTCCTCCGATGACCGCGGCGACGAGCAGGAGTTGAAGGCCTGACAGCGGGTCGTGCAGGCGAGTCGGAAGCCTGAGTAGTACCCACACCAGGAGTCAGAGCCAGAGGCGATGGCGGTATGACGGTGCCCGGGAGGGCGAGGCGGAGGGTAACGGACTTTGCAAAAGTTTGAATCGCTTTGTCTTCACCAGGAAGACGGGCAGGCTCTCCACTCACCGTCAGGGTGCTACCGCATGCGCTAGCAAGTGGCCTAATGCGTAGAAGTACCTGTACGTTGTCAGTAGGCATGCCGATGTGGTAGTGCGAGGAGAGACGGGTGGGGAGGGTCGGAGAGGGGGGGAGGAGGGTGGCAGTGATTGATCAGTGAATGGGCGACTGATGTTGGCTCCCGCACCTTCAAGGGCATGGGGAGGGAGATGAGGGAAAGGGGGGGGATGGTGGCGATGGTGGCGATGGTGGTGGTGCAGGTGGTGCAGGTGGTGCCGTTGCTGTGGTTGTTGATGCGGGCATGTCGGTGGTTTCGGGAGGGATGCCTGTGTGGGACAATGATCGAGGCGTTTGGCGCAGGTCATGCGACGATGATGTGCTTCGTGCTGATGTGTGCTGACGATGTGATGTGCCTTTGTGTGGTGTTGGTCATGTTCAGGTGTAGCGGATGGCACGCCGGGTGCAGTTGCGGATCTTGGGACTGACGGCGTCGACGCCGTAGGCGATGTCGTCGAGGAGCTTGTTCTGATCATCGAGCTCAGTGTTCATCTCGAGGGCCATCGCCTTCATGCCAGCGATCGAAGCTGCGAGTGAGTCAAGGTCGTCGTCAGCTGTGCCAGCTGATGTTCCTAGCGGAGCTTGGTGGGAAGAGCCGGCAGCGGCCCGGGTCGAGCCGGCGGGAGAGGCAATGGGATCGATGGTGGCGAGAGGCGGGCGATCCGGGCGGGCGAGCGGCTTGCGGCGGCGAACAAACATGTTCTTGATGCCACCAAACCACGAGCCGATGGTGTTGAGCAGACGGCGTGACTCGTGAGTGTGCTCGTCGATACGATCGAGATTGCGGGCAGCGCGGGCGAGGACTGCGCGCTGGGCGTGGAGCTCGGCGAGGGTTTCGGCGCCGATGTCGAGCGATTCAGCGGCAGAGCGCTGAGCCTGGAGCAGGGCAGCAGCTTGCCGCTCTTGACTTGTAAGTAGAGCGCCATCGGCGGCGGCATCCTGCCTGTCACGAGCAGCCTCGGATCCAAGAAGCTGCGTTCTTCTGGTGTGGGCGCGGGCGTGGAGCCTTGCTTCCACATCAGCCCACGGCTGCGATGTGGACGTAGCCGGCTTGAGGCGGCGCGATGGTGTGTGCGCAGACTGTGATGTAGCCATCTGTTTGTATGTGGTGCGATTGGCTGTGGTGGTGGTGGTGGTGGTGGGTGGGGGGTGGGGGGGGCGGGGGGGAGTGGCGAGTGTGTGT